AAGCGGACGTTTGCTGAGATCATATTTGAAAGAAGACACATTATGGGTTGTAGTGATATTTTTATTAAATCTGTCTGACATAAACAAGTGGAGTTATTTAGGTCACGCACTTCAGAAAATCCACCTTGAGAGAAAAAAATTATGGAGCATATTGCGATTTGTATGTATTTTATAAAAATGCGAAATTTATAGTATTATTTGAGAGAACGCATTTTAAGGTAGACAGATTAAGGTTTATGATTATGTACTATCCAATTCGATGTGTGTCAATTGTCATTTTCATTAATAAAGTGAAACTGCACTTTTGATGGTTCACTGTCTTTCACACTATTGTCACACATGCTAGCTTGTTTCACGTTGATGCATGATGTATTCGCCTAAAACAGGTCATGCACTTAAAATAAGTACGCATTTGCGCTTTTACAAACAATCGATTGTCGCACGTATCCTTCTTAAAGGTGAATGCGTACTTGCGTACCAGTTATGAGTACCCCTGCATATATGAGTACTCCAGCATTGATTCAATGTATTTCATTATAGACATATATGTGTACTCCAGTATTGATTCAGTGTACTTCACTATAGATGTATATGAGTACTCCAGCATTGATTCAATGTACTTCACTATAGACGTATATGGGTACTCCAGCATTGATTCAGTGTACTTCACTATAGACGTATATGAGTACTCCAGCATTGATTCAGTGTACTTCACTATAGGCGTATATGTGTACTACAGCATTGATTCAGTGTACTTCACTTTAGACAAATAACAGGAACACCAGCATTGACTCAGTGCGCTCATATGATGATGTTCGTTCCCTTTTACAAATGATTTTTGAGATATTAGAAACTAGCAGACTTTGTTAAACAAAGGTGGATCTGCACAGTCTAATTACTTAGTGATGGCAGAAATAACGTTCAAAAATCCACCCATTGCAAGTTTAAAATCTCAGACTCTCCTCTCCAGCAGTAATTAGGCTCTCTAGATGTCGTTAGGGAGGATGTTCAGAGGATGTGGAAAAGGAGGCATGATAAAAATGGCATTAAGTTAAAAAAAAAGATAGTTCCAAATGGTCCTTGCTGATAAAGTTTTTCATATGTTACATTTTCATTGAGCTTCCCAAAAATGAATGCTTTAGTGAAGGTTATCAGACCTCGGCATGACAGCCCAAGAAAAGATACATGGAATCCAGAACTGGCGTGAACGCGATATGTAAGTGCTCTCTAGGCGTTACAGATGTGGTTATCTTTAATTACACACCGTCTTCTTTTTCCCATAAATCAGCATTCTTTAATTATGAAACTCTGTTTGGTACTATTAATGAAAGCTACTTGCTTCCACGAATGCTTAAATGAGACGATAATAATCGCGAAATATAACATTTGGTGTAGTGTTGCTAATGTGGCGTTAATAAACAAACAAATCGTATTTTATTAGATATAAGGCGTGTCTGTAATCTCCTAATAGTTTTGGCAAAGCAGTGTTTTTTCATGGGAACCAGCTCAGTATCATCAAAGTCATCGAATTACTGGGGGTTTCGTAACATAAAATTCGTAACACGATGCACATTAAACCGTATAGTCAGGAACACCGTGTGTCACATTTCAAGCTTGTGTGTGATATTTCAGCTTTTAGTCACTTCACTGAGGCCTTTGTAAGCTATTCTTTATGCAGGACCATTTCTCAGCTAAATTACAATGAAAGAATAGTGAAATTTATCACTGTATAATCCACACTAGCTTAATCCCTTCATTTCCCTGGTCATGTTCAATACATTAGGTACTGCGATATAGTGATGTAATATGAGGAACAGAAATTAACATTTTATTAAAGCGTCATGCTTGCTATCTCTCTGCCTATGATTGTTGCACCTCCTAGCTATATTTCCATTGCTCTGCTATGTTTTATTCAGTGTAATTTAAGGAGTAACTTCAAGTCATACTGTATCTCTGTAAGTCTGATGAAAGCAGCGTTGTTCTAGGCATAAGACATGTTTTTATCAGATTCTCCTCTTGCATTTTCGAGGAATTAGCAGAGCCGTTGAGCGATTAAGTGCACTGATAGCTCTCACCAGCTGACTAACTGGGGGTTTCCATGTTCTAGGTGAGACTATGGCTTCGTACAGGTTCGTACAGACACTGGTGCATGGAAGTGTTGTATTTGTGTTACACACTGAAAATGTAGACCCCAGTGCAATACTGCTGAAAGACAGTCTTTATGCACCTTATGTAATTGCCCTTTTATGTGAAATGATGGAGTTGATGGATTTTTAATCATGTTAACTCAACAGATGTGGAACTGACAGGAGCTTGTATTTATATACCCTGTCTTGACATAATATGCAGTTTGGAAATGGGAGTTATGACGCAGATTCTGAATAAAATGTTCCTACCAGAGGGAATGTATTAAACTGTTGTCTTAACTCTAGGCACAACATCATCAATCTCTTTTTCCAAATGTGTTCAGTTGCCCTCTCCTGCATGTTAAGTCCAGCATCAGTTGTAAGCTGGCATCGGTTTCATAGCAACAGTGTAACTTTATGAAAAATTAGATTAGACCTTTGTGACAGAGAGAAGAATACTTTGCATACTGCCTTATTGTTTGGTTTTGCAATGCTGTAAATATCGGTGTGCAGATGAATGGCTTGTCGATTAAGTTTTGATGGCACCGCACAGCAAGATGTGTGTTTATGTTCTTGTGATGAAACAGAGTCAGTGCGGGAAAACAGTCAGGAGGGTTCTAACAGAGCGGTCAGTCCTGCCGTTTCTTATAGCTGTGTCGTTGTTTCTTCTTGCACGGTCTGATTTATTTCAGTCCTTTGCTGCTGTTGTCCTTTGGTGCACCACATTTCCAGGGTGAATAAAGCCCAGGAGCAAATGATAGGTGCAAACAAAGAGGCTCCATATTGACTTTTGAAAAGACAAGGTTCTTATGAGAACGGTACCGATGCAGAACTAATTGCCCGTTGTCAGTGCCTTTCATCAGCGCGGGTAAATTTACAAAAGGAACCGCAAGCAGCTGAGGTCTGCATTCTGCTTCATGTCTTGTCGTGGAGCCGGTGTACAGAACGCTGGGGTGTCATGGCATTCTGCTGAATAGTGGCCAACAGTGGAGCCAAGGTATGTTAAGAAAATGGTATAATGGACAGTGGCAGAGGTGGAAATTTCACAGCCAGAAAGTAAAAATCCAGACCGTGATTTTGTTCCAACCAACAACTTGAGCGTTCTGTGACTGTGACTGACTGATTATGCTGAACTGGTCGGTTGTAAATAAAATTGCGGTCTGGATTTTTACTTTCTGGATCTGAAATTTCCACCTCTGGACAGTGGAGATGTACTGTCAGGCTGTGGGCTGGAGCCTGTGAGTGTCCCTTCGTCGATTCCTTATGTATTTATTTGTCCTATAGCGTCAAATAAAAACAGAGCCATCCTCAGCTCCGGTACCGCTGTTCCACTTTGCTACATTGCTGCATCTTCAGTTATAAATGGCACCAGTATTTAACGGTCCAGTTCATGTGAATCCTTAAAAGGGATATGATGGCCCAGTGTGTTCAAACAGGAACATGTCAGGGATTAGTTTGGAATCACTTGTCTGTAAACTAGTCATGCGAAGCATTCCTGGAGACATAGCTACAGTAATGTTAACAGAATACACACAGTGGCTGCAGTGTAGCATAAAACACAGAATAAATCTGTCTTCCATTATCTCTTATTCAGTTCAGAATCACATGAGTCTAGTACAAATGCAGGGCACGATTGGTCAAAGACAGTTTCGAGGTGCTAATTCACCCAAATAACGTCTTGGTACTGTGAGAGGATTCTGGGATACCCAAGTATACTTTCGACTGAACACAGCTGGGTCAGGAATCGAACCTGCAACCCAGTGGTGCCCACTGAGCCTGCACCCCATGCACTGAATGTGGAAGCCAGTAAAAAAAGATACTATACCTTGTGCTGTGTCAGGATCAATACAATTAGCCCTGAAGAAAACAAGCTTCATTTGGAATACATACCCTACTGGCAGCTATAGGTCTAAGTGCTGTTTCCATTTACTAAGCAGCAAGGCTGCGAAAACGCCTGGATGGCTGAGGACTTTGCTTATGGTTAGGCTGTACCTGCAGCTTTATCAAGTGACAGTCAATGACAATTATCTTTTGTGACAACTCGGCCTTTCATGTGACTCTGTGATCCTGAGCGGCCGTGCTGTCGAGGCACACAGTATCGCTCCCAATTATATTTTTAATTGTGCAGGGCTTGGGTATCTGTGCCTCAGATGTCTGAGGAAGTGCAGGTGTTGTTAGGTGTTCTTTGATTAAGAGCTGCCGAGCCTGTTAACCGACCAAAATCCCAGTCATTAAGAGCTTTACGTTCACAGTGGTGGCAGTTTTGCTTTTGCCAGTGGCGAGAGAGGTTCACTTCAATCTTCCTTAGACTAATAATTAATGGTAACATTCAGAATTAAATGCGCTTCGTCTAATCCATTTATGCGCTTTTTCAAAAGAATCTAGTTCATCTTCATATACTGCAGTATTTGTTGGAATAATTTCTTAGCCTTGTGGGTGGGGTTACCAAAAATGAATTTCCCCACTTTGATATTATGGATTATCCATTGTTGATCGAAAAAATATGTCTATAGATCTACTGAAAACACAAGTAGATGTTACACACAAAGGAAATGTTGTCACACTATTTATAAACGATATCAGACCTGACCTAGGATTCCAGTATGGGAGTAAGCTGCAGCATTTTTCAGATAATGCAAAAAAAAATGAAAAGGATTATGCCTTTATCTGAATTATCCTTTCAGAGTCAGAAGGTGTGTGGTTAAGCCCAAATAGCATTACACTAAACTGATAAAGCCCAGGTGTCCAGATGCGGAAATATAATTTTACATGTTGGATTGGATTAAATTAATGATGGATTACGTTGGCATATGGGACATGTCATAGGACTCTTTAAAGTGCTTTTCTGTGGTTTGTGTTGAAACCTGCTTGCAGATGTACATCCAGACGACGACCCTCACCATCTCCCTGAGTCTGAGCGCCTCGGTCTCCCTGGGTATGCTCTACATGCCCAAGGTGTACGTCATCATCTTCCACCCAGAGCAGAACGTGCCCAAGCGCAAGCGCAGCTTCAAGGCCATCGTCACCGCCGCCGCCATGTCGGGGAAGCTGACGCAGAAGGGGGGCGACCGACCCAACGGCGAGGTGAAGACCGAGCTCTGCGAGAGCATGGAGACCAACAGTGAGTGTGGTGCCCTGCCTTTTCTCACCTTGGATTTTTATATTGTAAAAATAAATCCAAAGACAAGCAGTTAGCTGGGATGGTGGAGGTGTGTGGCTCAGCAAGTTAGGGCACAGTGCCTGTGATCAGAATGTTAGTGGTTCAAATCCCAGTGTCGGGAGACTAACTTCCCAGTTGGGAACCTGAGCGAGGCTCTTAAGCTCCAGTTGCTCCAGCAGCTGTCTGACACGGTTTTCTCAGAAATCTTTGGGTAAAAGCATCTGCTAAATTAAATAGTAAATGGTAGGTGATGTTTCTTCATTGCCTACATTGTGTGAATGTTTGTGTGGCCTGCAGTTGACTGGCTTCTCTCCCATGGTGTCCCTCTGCTTTGGACAGGCTCCTCCAAGAAAGATTCACTTTCATTTAATAATATAACATTAAAATTATTACTGTGACATTAGAAACAATTTGACTAACACTTGTAGTTTTATTTCACATTAACTTTTAAAGAGCCGACTTATTGCATATTTTGAAAACCAACCTTGTTGATAAACCAGAAAGAATGACTCATATGCAAAAAGGTTAATTTGTTTCCTAAGAGCTACAGACAAGGAATACAAATCTGCCTGATTTGTTTGCCCCGTAGGGGCAAGTTTATTCCATTTTTATTTCATTTAATAAATGAACACAAAGGCAGAACATCAGGTCATTTTAAGTCCTTAAACAGCTTGAGGAAAATTCATTATGGGCCATTGTAATGAAAAAGAACTTGTACAGTTTACTGTATGATTTTAGCCAGAACAAAATTTGTCTCATAAGTAACAGGTACATTTGTAAACTTTTTGTGGTCTGATGCAACACATTCCGGGTCATTGTCAGATCACTGTGTCAGCTGGGCAACAACACATCCGTTTCTTTCTAATCTGTTAAAAATAATTAAAACAAGCCTTGGTCTATTTTTGTCAAGTCACACTGATCTTACTTCGTATATATACATTAACTCCGTTTTGCAATAAACACATTTTAGGTCTTCACTTTCTGGAGCCAGAATTAATTTACCTCAGAAATTCAATTTTTTATTCCAAATAATATTGGTCTATTTGGTATTTATGTGGGGAAAATATTCTTATTGTGAGTTAGGAAGGTAGGTGCCTTGTTATCTGAACCTGCGGCCTGTACGCAAGGAAACTGCAGCCCAGTGCACGATCTTTGACTTTGAATTTAGTTTGCTTGAGTTTTTCATTTAATCTTCGGACATCGTTTTAGGGATCTTGGCTTCAGTCAGCACAGAGAGCAATTGTTTTATTTACTGAAGCTTTTTTCCCTGGCAGTACCTCAGAAGCATAATGGAAATCAGTCTGATTAGAAAGCACTCTATCCAGATGAAGACTTTCTGGCTGTGCGACCAGTGCATCTCCAGTGGGGCACACAGCTTTGTCGTGCAGATTATAAGAAAGAGTGTTATTAGAGAATGTATTAAATGTGCAAAGGCTTGGAGAATGGAACA